GTCACCTGACTTTCAGGTTATTTGCTAACTCCCTCAGTTAAATGAAGCATTTTCTTTTAGTAAATTTATGACTAATTTTTGTTGTTGTTTTGCTCTGCTGGACTCTAGAGAACGCAGCCTAAGACAAACGAGCCCCAGACGGCCACTTGGTGAACAAGCCCGTCCACGAGGGCACTGGAACTGAGAGGAGCCGCTCCTACGTATAAAAAGGAAGGTGTAAAATGCTGTGGCTCACAGAAAGTGAAGAAATCACTGGACGGGGGCATGAGGCTGGGACTTAGGTGCTCGTGGGGTTCACGGTCAGAACTTAATGATCAATGGATTTGAGGATAAAATAGACTCTAAACATTTCTTTCTGTGGGATGAATCACTGGAGAAGCTCAATATCAGTTGTGAAAAAGAAACCAGGCGCTGATTGAGGGACAGACCCCGTTATTCATTATTGTTGTTGTTGGGCACTGTTGAGTCAGAACTGACCCATCGGTGACTCTCTGGTGGGTTTTCAGAGGCAGTTAACTGCACAGGAGAAGATTGTCCATCCTTCTCCTGTGGAGTGGCTGGTGGCCTCGAACCATGTGCCTTTGGGATTGTAGTGCAGCTTCTTGCCACTAGGCCACGAAAGCTCCCTGACAACTACTCATATGCAAGTTCAAGCTAAAGATAAAGAAAATGAAAGGAAACGTGCAGGAACATAAACTTGTCCTTGAGTCTCTCACTTCTGAATTTAAACATCAACTCAGGAAGAAGAGGTCTTGAACATTAAAGAATGAAGACCAGATGAGCTGTGGGAGGATATCAAGAATAACATCCAGAAAGAAAGCAAAAAGGTCATCACAAAGGCAGAGGAGGAAGAAAAGACCAAGAGGAATGTCAGAAGACACTCTGAATATTGCACTAGAGCACTGAGAAGCCAAAGAAATCAAGATGTTAAGGAGCTGAATAGAAGATTTCAAAGGGCAGCTCGGGAAGACAAAGCAAAGTATTATAATGAAATGTGCAAAGAGCTGGTGTAAAAAAATCAAAAGAGATGAACTTGGAAGCATTTCTGAAGCTGAAGGAACTGAAGAACAAATTCAGGCCTTGAGTTGCAATACTTCAGGATGTTATGGGCAGACTGTTGAGTGATTCAGGAAGCATCAAAAGAAATAGAAGCAGCACAGAGTTACTGTACCAAAAAGAATTGGCTGACATAGAATTATTTCATGAAACAACAGATGACCAGCAGGCAATGGTGAGGACGAAGAAAGTTCAAGCGGCTCTAAACGGATAGGCCAAAAACGAGGCCCCAAGACATGACGGTAACCAATCGACGTATTGAACAAATACACACATGCTGCCCTAGGCATGCTCACCACGCTGTGCCAAGAAATCTGGAGAACAACTACCTGGCCAGCTGACTAGAAAATATCCATATTTATTCCCATTCTAAAAGTGGAGATAGAAGAGTATGAAAATTACTGAAAAATACCAGCACTATCACACACATAAGCAAAATCCTGCTGAAGATTATAAAAAAAGACTGGAACAGTCCATTACCAGAGAACTACAAGAAATACAAGCTGGGACGAGAAGAAGCTGTGGCTCTAGAGACATCATAGCCAATGTCAGATGGATCTTGGCAGAAAGCAGAGAGTACCAGAAGAATGTCTGTGTTTCATTGATTATGCAAAGGCATTCGAATGTGTGGATCACAACAAACAACTGGCGAGCCTTGAGGAGAATGGGAATCCCAGAACACTTGACTGGGCTCATGTGAAACCTATACTCAGAACAGGAAGCAGTCCTCAGAACAGAGCAAAGAAACACTGCATAGTTCAAAATCAGGAAAGGAGTGCATCAGGGATGCTTCCTGTCTCTATGGCTTTTCAATATATATCCTGAACACGTCATTCATGTCCAGAAGGCTGGACTTTATAAGGAGAAATGTGGCTTCAGGATTAGAGGAAGACTCTTCAACATCTTAAGATATGCAAATAATACAAGTTGCTTGCTGAAACGGAGGAAGACCTGAAGTGTTTCTACAGAAGGTCAAGGACTACAGTCTTCAATATGGATTGAATCGCAACATCAAGAAGACAGAGATCCTCACCACTGGGCCAACTGGCAGCATCATGATGGATGGAGAAGACACTGAGGTTGTTAAGTCACAGTTTGCTCGGCTCCACAATCAACACTCTTGGCACCTACAGTCAGGAGACTAAAAGACAAATTGCACTGGGAAAATCTGCTGTCAGGGACCTCTCCAGAGTACTAAGAGGCAACGATATCAGCCTGGAGACTAAGGTGTGCCTGATTCAGGCCCTGGTCTTCACAATTACTTGCTTTGCATCAGCGGGCTAGACAATGACAAGGAATGACAGAACAATCACCAGTGCCTTTGGGTTGTGCTGCTGGACGTACCATGGAGTGCTGAAAGGACACATGTGTCTGTCCAGGAGACGGTGAAACCAACTTGCTCCTTGGAGACAAGGATTTGAAGTTCCGTCTCACATACTTTGGGCATGTGGTCAGGAAGGCTCAGTCCTTGGAGAAGGACTCCATGCTTGGAAGGGTGGAGGGACAGTGCAGGAGACGAAGGCCCTGGATGAGACAGACTGACACAACATCTGGCATAATGAGGACAGGTGTGTCAGAAACAATGAGAATGGCTCAGGACAGGGCAGAGGTCAGAGCTACTGCGCAGTGTTACTATGAATTACAGGTGACGACACGTAACAACAAGAACAAAGCATTTCTGAGACTACTTAGTGTGAACAATAGGTTCTTGGACATTCTCTTTATACTAGAATCTTGCATCAGACTCTGACCACAGCATGTGGGCAGGGCAGCCCATCACTCAGTCTACCCAAGGCCAGGCCCAGGGATGGCACGTATGACCACCAACAAACATGATGAAAGGTCAGTCTTGCAGCGTCAAACATCACCCCTGGGAATGAACAGGGAAAACCATGAGATTTGGGGAGCTAATTTCCTGCTGGGGGGAGAATATTGTGTAAAAGGGGATCCTAGCTCAGTGTCAATGTGACTGATGGCTGAACCCCCAAGGATGGTGACTAGGAAGTGACCACAGTGGTTGCTGGTGCTGCAGCCGCAGGAAAACCACAGACAGCGGCTTTAAAGATAAATCTGTTTGTTCCCAGGTCAGTGGCGGAAGTTCACATTGGGTCTCAGCTGCGGGGTTCTCCCTGTGACCGATGCTTGGGGTTTGGGGGTTGGCCCTCAGGCCCGGTGGTCCTTAGTGTCCTCGTCCCCTCTGTGTCACTGAATCTACTCTGTTTTCTCTATAACGTGGAGTGGTCAGTTCTCGAGCCACTCTTCTTTGGCATAACCTCATTAACAACAACTAAAAAAAAACCCAAAAAGGAAAAAACCCTGTTGGTCAACAGGATCTGATTTACGGCACGCTCACAGCTGAGTCCCACAGGTCAGTTCTGACTGGACCGTGCCAGTCAGCACCACCACCACCACCACCACACGCCCTAGGAGCTCTGGTGGCTTGGTGGGAAGGAGCCGTGCTGCCAACCCAGAGGTTCGTGGTCTGAATCCACCAGCTCCTCCGAGGGAGAAGGGCGAGCTCGTCCTGCGTGTTTTACGGACTCTGAAGTCCCGCGGGAGGGCCAGGCAGTTACGGGTCAGTTCTCACTCGAAGGCACCACGATCACACACAACCATGACATTCACAGCAGATGCCAACCCCTGAGGCGCCCATCAGGCCTCAGATATTTATGGGAGGAGACTTCCCGTCTCTCTCCGGGAGAGGCAGGTGGGTTGGAACCTTCGACCTTATGGTCGGCATGCATCACATAACACACTACACCATCAGCTGAGTCACCATCAGGAGCTGTGAGGATTCCAGTATATTCGGCGCTGTTGTGAGGAGGGCTTGGACTGGCTCTGACTCATGGCAATCCACATGGGAAATGAAACCCTGCCTGGCCCTGCATCGCCCCACAATCACCGCTGTGTCTGAGTCCATCTTTACGGCCAGTGTCAGACCGTCTCACTCAGGGCCTTTGTAGATGACCCTCGGCTCTGCAGTTTTCCCAAGCACGTGAGGCTAATAAAAGCCCCGTGGCATGGTCGGACACACTGAAGCCACAGGTGATCCCACAGACGTTAAGACTTTAAAGAGATCCTCTTCAGCAAGTGCAATGAGATGCAGCAGTTGACTTCTTGAGCCCCCTTTTCTTGGTCACTGATTTCAGATCTAAGTGAAATAAAGCGTGGACAGCTTCGCGTTTTCTCCGCGAGATTGCTTCGCAGCCCAGCTGTGTGGATTTCACATTCCTTTCTGTTGAGGTAAGAGCCATACTCCTCCTTCTGGTGTGGTCATGTGTGGACCGCGTCTTCTTCAGAAGATGCTCACCATTGTAGGACACACACACTGGGCATCACCGTTAGATCCAGAACAGACAACTTTTTTGGGATGAAGTGCCAGGTTGGAAACCCAACACTTCTCTCTGACCCTTGTGTATACTTCCCTGGGCAGTTGCGGGCCCTTACAGAAGACTTAGTTAACAAAGTGCCACCCAGGTAGAAATTCCACCATTCAAACCTTTGCCCTTCCAAGTAAGAGATACTCCGAGGATACCTGATTTCCATACTAGTACTTTCATTGACTGGAAGACACTGTGAGAGACCCACAGAATTAAAAACAACCAGATCCACATTCACTGAAAGGGTCGAACATCTCCTCCCCCATTCTCTTCATTGCTCCATCCCCCGCTCTGTTCTTAGAATGCCCATCTGCAGAGCCCTGAGTGGTGGCCAGGGGCCTCCTCTTTCTTCTAGGGAGTTCCTGGGGTGTTTGAACTGCTGACCTAAGGGTTAGCATCCATCACATCACTGAGGCTCCTAATCCTAATCCAGTGGTGAGCACAGGTGTCAACGGGCCAACAGCACCACCCTCTCGTTTCCAAAGGCTGCGGAGGGAACCCTCGGGTCACGGGTGGGTCCTGGCATGACAGGCCTGCCCTGGCACCCTCGGGGAGGCCACCTACCTGCGTGTGAGGTGGCGATGGCACTTCTTCAGGGGCACCTTGGCCACGTGCTCGTGCAGGCCCACGTACAGGACGCTTCGGCTGTGAAGGATTCGCAGGCCGCGCACGGGCTCCGGCCGCCACGCGGGGACCAGCTCCAGCTCCTCCAACAGACAGCTGCCCGCAGCGGGGCCCAGCGGCGCCCGCACCTTCTTGATGGTGCCTCGCTCTGCAGGGTGGGCGGACAGGACAGTGAGCACCCGATCGAGCAGGAGGAGGAGGGGAGGACCCAACCTATGTACTGGGTCAGGAGGGACCGTCTCTGGAGAAGGACATCAAGCTGGGACAGGAGGGACAGGGACAGTGAGGAAGACCCTTAGTGAGGTGGACTGACAGTAACAGAAACACTGGACTCAAACACAGCAGACTGTTAACAGCCGAGGGCAGGGCAGCGTTTTGTTACAATGTACACAGCAAGGCTGCAGGTTGGAACCCACGCTGGGATCATTAACCACCGCTACACAGGGCCACATCCCCTGCTGGCGTGAAGGCTTTAGTGCCTGCTTCTGGGAACCAGAAGTGGTCTCTGACAACTCTCCAAAGTTCTGTTGTGGTTGCCGCTGTTATTTTCACAAAGGACAGAGTGTTACAATGTACTTCACGCGGACAAACTCAAGCACAAAATGAACCAGGAGCTGATACTGAGTCAGCTCTGCCTCGAAGCAGCCCTGGAGGACACAGTGGAACTGGGTTGTAGGTTGTCTGAGGCAGTGAATGAGACTTGGTGGAAGTAGACGGTCATATGTATCTCCCCGTGAGTGGCTGGTGGGTCTGAACTACTCACCTTCTGACTAGCAATTGAGCACTTAACCAATGCATCACCAGGGATCCTTATAGTCACAATTAAGAAATAATTTGTCCTTGAAACAGATGAAAGCCAGCAAAACCAAGATGCCAGTGTGATCATGTATCCTCAAGCAGGGATGCCTCTAGCAGCCAGATCTCAGTCACCACAGGACACCACTAGCACCAACAAAATCAGGGTGTTGGGGATAGCTTGAACCCTTGCTGGCCAGCAGCAGTCCATGCCATCAGAGGCCCTGGCCACCGATGCTCTCTGCTGGTCACTCACTGTGAGGCGGAAGGGCTGGAGCTGGGAGAAGTATGGGAAGCTCCTTTGTTCAGTCCATGAATGAGCATCAGAAGGTTCTGTAGAGGGGAGAGGACCCTCAGAGGGATCGTGCTCAGCCGTGGTGTGGTCCACTGCTGCTGCATGCTGGGCAGTGGACATCACAGTGTGAACTACGGCTCTGTGGATTCTGTGGTTTCTACACTAGACCCCGAGCTTTTGGAGGGCAAATTGTCCTCTGATACACACAGGGCTCCACAGATCACAGAGACATGTGCTTAAGAAACACACAAAATTTTAAGACTTGCTGACAGTTAATACATTGAAGGTTTGATGGTTCACACCCAACTGGAGATACTCAGTTGGAAAGCCTAAGATCTATATGCAAAGGCTGAAGTTCTGAAACCCTTAAGAGCCAAGTTCAACACAGTGGTCTTCAAGAGTCAAGGTCAACTCAACTGCAAGTATTGGTGTCGCCAGGTGAGACACTGAAGCATTTTTAAGTAATGGTTGAATGAATAAGTGAGGGGCAGATGAGTGAGGGATGGAAGAAGGAGTGATGAAGTTATGAGTAAAACAATGGCTGCATGAGTGAGTGATAGGTGAGTGGGTAAACGATGGAAAAGTCAGGAGAATGGGGGCAGGAATGAGTGGCAGATGTAGGAGTGTGTGAGTGGGTGAATTAGGACGAGCGAGCCGTGAATGGGACGTACGCTTGAGTGAACAGATCCGGGGGGATGTCACAGTGTCACTAACACATTTCGAGAAACAAGTTCTGGTTGCTTCTGAAACCGTTACTGGCTGGTAATTTTCCAGTGTGACCTTTAGCAAAAGCTCTGTTACAAGTGCTTGTACTAGTGAGACAGGATACACGTACTTCTCCAAATCCCCAGAATGGGAAGATTTCAACCAAAGTGTCGTAAAATATCAAAGAAGAAAGAAAATCATTAAAATGGGTTTCATTAATTCAGACAATCGGCCAAAGGTAATAAAACCACAGATGCCTTCTACATAACTGAGCACCAACATCCTAACTAAAGTCAGTACTTAGATAACAGAATTACAGAAAATGTTGATCTTTCTGTAAAATCCTGAGATCCACAGAAAACAAAAGTGCTGGCATTTTTGGCCAATGTCAGCTCACCTCCTGAGGAGAGGAGGAGGAGACAAGCTCACAGGAAGCTCAGGACCAGCAGACAGTAGGGAGGACAGAAGCAACTCTGCTTTGGAACCCTTGTCACAGAATTGGCTTCCACGTGGACAGGTCAACCACAATTAAGACTGCAGACACAAACGTGGGTGCTTTAGAGGCAAGGATGTGAAACTTCACCTCACTTGTTTTGGACTCATGATTGGGAAAGACCAGTCCCTGAAGGACATTACAGTTGTCAGACAGTCAGCCAAAGGAAAACCTCCATTTGTCAGATTGACACAATGGAAAGAATGAGGTCAAACGTGCCAGAGACCATGTAGGCACAGACCTGATGAAGTGTCGCTGTTGTAAATAAAGTCACCATGAGTCAGAGTGGACTAGACAGTGTCCAGATAACCAAGACACCATAGACACAATAAGACTGTTGGGTGGTAAAAAAAGTTAGCAAACTTAAGTACTTATCTAAAGGTTGGATGTTCTCAACTACCCGGGGGCACTTGACTAGAAATACCTGGGGATCCATTCCTGAGAAATAAACTTGCCACACCCGCCTCGCTGTCCTCTCTGGCCACGACGCCCGTGTGACAAAATGGGACGTCTGCGCCTGTATGGGGTCTCTGACCTCAAGGATAGCATAAGAGGGAATCTTGCAAGCCCTGTGCTTGTGAGTGGGCTGATGCCTGGATATTTGTTAC